GCAAAAACATAGCAGGTGGGTAAAAGCAGAAGGATTACACCGGGACTTAGAAAATACTCATTTCTATCCCCCTTCAACCCACCCTTTCCAGGAATGACACAGTTCAAGATGCATTGTGTACATAAATCACTTTGTTAAGTGCCAAAATCCCCAATACACACCTAAAAATTAAGAAAAGTGAGGGAAGAGGTGGGGTGGGTGAGAATGTTGAAAGGGGTATATTCATAAACTGTTCTGCCAAATGGTAATTCCTTTGAACAACTACTTAAAGACAATAATAATATATTAAAAAGAGATACGTGAGGGAAGGGGTGGGTTGGGAAGGGTGGGTGAGCATGTTGAAGGGGTGACATTGATCAAGACACACTGCATTCACAAACCCTTTGGTTGGATGGCAACTACTCTGAATAACTACTTAAAAGATAAAAAGTATTTTTAAAAGATCTATGTGCTGAGTTCAAAAAAAGACAGAAAAGTAAACACTAAGTTATTTACATCTTAGGTGACCAATAGTCTTTGTCCAAGAATGAGGCATTTTCTATTTATAGTGGCATAATTGGATCTAACTGGGGAACTTCTTGAAATACCAGACATGCTGATGATTCTAATAACCCTGTCACTTAACAGAGTTGGTAATCTGGGGTGGCTGGTTGCGTAATTCTTATTTTCTTTCTTTTGTGGTTTTCTTGATAATAAAAGAACTAGATTAGGGACTTCAGTGGCTGAATTATCTGTCAGTGCTAGTATCTCTCCAATCCCTCTCCAACTTTTTTGTTAAAAACTTCATTCCTACAGTGTTCCAACAAAATTTAATACACTCATATCACTATAATCACTTAAGAAATAGAACATAATTCCTTTTCCTTTAAATTAAACGCCTCTTTCATATCCACAGGTAGACAACCTGTCTATTGATTTCTAAAATTGTAGATCAATATGACTAAGTCACATTATAATGAATGAAATAATACAAATTTGGCTATTTTTCCTGGATATTTTAATAGTACTTCACTTATTTTTATTGCTCTAAAATCTTCCAGGAAATGAAGAGCTGGAGAGGGATAAAGGTGAACATAGCACAGTATATACAGATATGAAAAATATCAATCACCTTTACAATAGAATTTAAGTAAAGAAAATGTCATACATGAAAACCATTAGTATAATTTTTTCCCATTTTTTATTGGCATCAGTTCATTGTGCAAGGAGGTTTCATTTTGGTATGCCCATGTAGGCATACAGCATGGCTCGCTTGAACTCACTCTCCTCACTTTCCTTTACCACTCTTTCCCAAAACAATCGCAACAGGCTCCATTATTCCATTTCATATATGTTCGTAAAGTATATTGACTATACTCACCCAAGATTCAGCCTCTCCATTCACCCTACCCAGTCCCACTAGTACCCATACCCCAGATCTTCTGGATCCCAACAACACACAGGCTGAACAAGCAATCAGGAGAACAACTCCATCCACCGCAGTCTCCCAAAAAAATACCCAGGAATAAGCTTAATCAAGCAGGTGAAAGCCCTCTATGATAAAAACGAAGCAAGACTCCAGAACGTGGAAAGACTTCCCATGCTCACAGATTGGTAGAATTAAGGTCATGAAAGTGGCCGTGCCGCCAAAAGCAATCAATCAATTGAATGCAATCCCCATCGAGACGCCAATGTCATTGTACACAGAAATAGAAAAATTAATTCTTTTTTCTCAATGTTAATTTTATTGTTAAGATGTTGTAGAGAGGGGTTACAGTTACGTGAGTAAGGCAATGAGTACATTACTTGTCGATCATTGTTACCTCTTCCCTTCCTTGTTGTTGTCCCACTATCCCTTCCCTCCCCTCTCTCCCACACTCCTACTCCCCCCCACCCCCCTTGCCACCTGAAGGTGTGAAGTTCATTCCCAATATACTGTCCTGTGTGTCTCATTGTTGCAGTGGGTCATCCGGTGTCCTTGTTTCAGCGTTTTGTTATTCCCCTTCCCCTACCCAGATTAGACATATGTATATACAAGATGCAGGGTATCAAAATTGAGTACCGTGACAATAGGGGATATGCCATATGGGAAAGAACATACAAAGGAAAAAACAACAAATAAAAATCACATGGTCCACTTAAAACAATAACAATAAAGACAACCTCTTGTGTCCATATCTTGGGGTTCATTTCACTTAGCATCATCTTATATGGTCATTTGTACATGGTTTTTGAGCTTTTCAGCTCATCTGATAAGATTATCCTACATGTATACTAATTATTGCAAATAAGGGAAACCATGGGACCTAAATTTCTTTGGGACTGGGTAACTTCACTTAATATGATTTTTGGAAAAATTAATTCTTAAATTTACATGCAAGCACAGGAGACCTGAATGCCCCCCCCCAAAAAAACAACCCTCAAGTAATGTGGAGATAACACAATGTTAGACTTCAAATTATATTATGAAGTTATAGTAACAAAAGCAACAGGGTTTTTATGTGCTTTCATACCACATACCAATCAGACAGACAGGTTGCAGCTTCAACCAAGTATATATGTGTTCCTTTCTCCCACACCCTAACCTGCACACTTGTGTTCTTAACCTTGGTCATTCTGACTGGAGTGAAATGAACTCTCAGTATCTCTTTGTTTTGTGTTTCCTTTATGATCAGGGATATTGAGGACTTAGGTATTTATTGTTCATTCAAACTTCTTCTTTCAAGAATTGTCTTTTCAGTTTATTTGTCCATTTATTAGTTGGGTAGTTGGTTCTTTGACAGTATAGTTTGTTGAGCTTTCTAGATGTTGTGGTGATTAATCTCTTATCAGATGAATAGCTGACAAGGATTCTCTCCCATTCTGAGGCTATCTCTTTAGTGAATATTTTCTCTGCTGTGCAGATGCTTTTTAGTTTTGATGTAATCACATCTATCATTACTTGCTCTTATTTGCCGAGCTGTTGACATTCTATGCAAGAAGTTAACTGCCTATGCCAATAAGTTCCAGGGATGGGTGATAGAAACCTTTATATATCTTTACACACATTTTTATTTTTACCATTTTGTGTTACATGTCTTCACTCTCTTAATGGTTATCTTACAGCAAGAAGAGATTCACATTTTCAATATTATATATACATACATATTTTCATCTATATACATATATTGAATATATATAAACATATATATTAAATAGTTCAATATAATATTGAAAATATGACTTGAACTCAGGGCCTGGGCTCTGTCCCTGAGCCTCTCTGTGCTCAAGGCTAATTTGAGCCACAGTGCCAATTCTTTTTCTGAGTAGTTTATTGGAGAGAAGAGTCTCATGGACTTTACTGCCTGAGCTGGCTTTGAACCACCATCCACAGATCTCAACCTCCTTAGGATTATAGGTGTGAGCCACTGGTGCCCCGCTTTATATAATAATTTTATACAGACTTACTGTAAGACATTTAGCAACCTAGTATCATGAAGATGTTGTTTATTTTCTTCTATAAGATTTATTATTTTACCTTTTTGTAATTACACCTAAAATACAACTTTGATTGATTTTATATGGTTTAATTTCCTTCTCCCCCAAGGTGAAAAGTTCCATAAAAGAATCAAGATTCATATGTATACAACCCCTATTGGTTGAAAAACTTAATTGTTCTCTTGTGCGTTTTTTATTTTTTATGTTTTTTTAAATTGAAAGCTAGGCATTTAAAATAATATAGTATGATACAATCTGGAATTAAGATTCTTCTATAGGGTTTGTCATTACTCTTTGGCTTTTCTCAGCTAATTCTGATAAGTATATCAGTTTTTTTTTTTAACAAATTTAGACTACTGAAATATCAACTAGGTTAGCTAATAATTAATCAGAGGTTTCCTTAAATACCTTAAACCAATAAAGGGGTTGTCTGCATGGAACTCTAGATGTGGTGTGTTGAGCATGCCAGTTAGGAGAAGCTCTTCAGAAGCCAAGAAGAGTCTATGTTTCTACTTCTGATAGCTTGCAAAAGGATGATTACCCGCACTTAGACCTCATTTTCCTTTTAGAGGCAGACATGGCCTACATAAAGCATTAATGTTGAGGTTTTGAGAAGGTCTGCCCATGTTTCCCTCATGTTCATTGTAGGTTTTGATGGTGTCTAGTAACGTACGTGTGTGTGTGTGTATGTGTATGTGTGCGTGTATGTATGTGTTTCATCTACCTTTACACACAAAACTACCTTGCAAAGGAAAGTGTTTATTTCCTTTGCAAGGGAAAGGCTAAGCTAGATAAGGAATGAAACCTGCCCATGACCAGTCAGTTCTGCTTGGAGAGAAGTAGATATATTAGAGTACCTGTCAGGTAAAATAAGAAGCCTAAGGTGCTGGGCCCAATGACATTGGACAAGGACATTTTGTCACCTACTGACTACCAAAGATATTCTTGGCCTTGAACATCTTTTTGGATAATTGTGGGGCTACAAAGGAATACTAAAAGCAGGGAACAGTGAATGTAAAGCCTTAGGCACAACGTACTATAGAAACAAAAAACAAAACCCAGAGACATGATAAGGTGTAGAGATTTATTAGGAAATAAATACAAATTAATTAGACAAGTTCCTTGTCACCAAGAAGAGAATTTTGTAAAGTAAGCATAGCAGGGAGAAGAATAAGCCATAAGGATAAAAGTGTAGTGAGGAAATACTCATCACTAAGAAGAGTCAGGAAAGGGGCTATAATTGTCTGCTTATTTTTTAGGTTGTTAGAGCAAAAAGACATAGATTACTTTTCAACATCTGAGAATGTGACTCAAGGTCAAAAGCAGATAAAGTAGACTGAGAACAAGAACATGGATTAGCAGGTAAAGAGATGAACAGCCAATGGAGTAAATTTTTCCTCTATCAACAAGACCTGCCCTTTGCAAGAAAACAACCAGTGGATGGCTGATGATAGCAAAGCCTGACAGTCATATTATTGCCAGGCTTGGGTTGGTAGATGGAAAGTTGCAATGTAAGACAGGGATGAGAGTCAACTGCAGCAAGATTAGAAACAGCTGGATCCGCAGCCCTGGGACAGACAGCCAGGCACACAGACACATGTGGGGTAGTAGCAGGTTCTTGTACAGTACACAGGTCCCGAGCAAACTGGCTGGCAGCAGCTGGACTGGCCGCAAGGCTGGCAGCAGCTAGACTCACAGCAGCGAGGCTGGCAGCAAGGCTGGCAGCAAGGCTGGCAGCAGCTGGGCTGGCAGCAGGGCTGGCAGCAGCTAGACACACAGCAGCAGGGCTGGCAGCTGGGTCTGCTGCAGCAGCTGGTCACACAGGTGGGTCTGAAGCGGGTTGTGCAGCAGGTAGTTTGGCAGCAGGGCTGGCAGCAGCTGGAGCTGCCGCAGCTGGGCTGGCAGCAGGGCTGGCAGCAGCTGGTTACACAGGTGGGTCTCCAGCAGGTGGTTCTGCAGCAGGTGGTCCTGCAGCAGGTGGGCTGGCAGCAAGGGGAGCAGCAGTTGGTCATGGTAGCAGGTGTGGAGGATGGGCTTCTGTTCCCAGAGGAGATTCCCAGATTCTGAGAGCTTCTTTGTTTCTGGGACTTTTATACCCCTGGCACTGGTGTGGGGACCAATGAACGAGCAGGACTTTTCTTTGTTGTTGTTTGTTTTCTGTAGGCTCATGGGGAAATGGCTGAAGGAGGAAGTTTGCCCCCAAGTATTACAAATCTTTTGAAAATCATCCATTAGGCAATTAATAGTAGATAATTCATGGAGAGTATTTCTAGAAGTCACCTGCATCATGCTTCCTATTGTAGTCATCATCTGGGGTCATGTGACAGTTTCTGTGGCCAGGGGAGGAGCTTCAACTTCTTCCTTCGTTTGTTTTGGCCCCAGTGCCCTTGTGGAGAGACTGGGAAATGTCTTTGATGCCCATGTGTTCACAGGGACAACTTGAATCCATGTCTGTGTCCAGATGGTTTCGACCAAAAGCCAATTTATTCAAGACTACAATAAGTATGTCAGATTGAGCAAACCTTACCCATGTTATACTTTTTTTTTTGCCATCTTTTTCCATATATACCTCAGCACCAAGGGCTGAGGAGAGAGGCTAAAGGAAGATGCAGGGCTTCAAACAGCATTTAGATTTCTCATGGAGTTGATCAGCAGGATATTCCTACCTGCCTGCTGCTTCCATAGTCCACATGATGACCCTGTCCGTTTGATCATTTTCAAGGAAATCAAAGCATAGTGTGCTGTGGGACAAGAACATACATTTTTATGTATAGCTTGATCAAATTTGACAAAGAGCACAGTGTGCTCAGAATTCATGCCAGGACCTCATGTTTTTCCTTATCCCTCTCTTCCCTGTAGCAACTATTTTCCTTTTTTGTCTAATATCACAGTTGTGCCCATTTTTGAACTTTATCCGAATTGAAATTACGTAGTGTATACATTTTTTAAAAACTTGGTATCCTCTGATAAAAATTAAGTTTGTACTGCCAGTCATTAGTGGCTTGTGCCTGTAATCCTAGCAACTCAGGAGATCTGAGAATCTCACTTCAAAGCTTGCCTGGGCAGGACAGTCTGTGAGATTTTTTTGTTTTTGGGTCTGGTCGTGGGGCCTGAACTCTGTGCCTGGGAGCTGTCCCTCAGCTCTTCAGCTCAAGGCTAGCACTCTACCACTTGAGCCACAGCGCCACTTCCGGCTTTTTTTCTTTTTGCTTATGTGGTGCTAGGGAATCGAACCCCGGGCCTCATGCATGCAAGGCAAGCGCTCTATCACTGAGCCACCTTCCCAGCCCATCTGTGAGATTTTTTTTATCTCCTATTAACCACCAAAATCCTGGAAGTGGTGCTGTGGCTCAAGTGATAGAAGTACTAGCCTTGAGCAAAAAAGCTCAGGAACAGCACCTAGGCCCTGCATTCAAGCCCCAGTACTGGCACACAAAATATTTGTCACATTTACCCACTTTGCATAGGAGGTATTTGTTCATTTCCAATGATCTGATCTTCTCCTTGTATAACAGGAAAACAACTTAGTTATGTTTCTCTTGATGGACATTTTTCCATCATTAGCGTTTTGGTGAATCATGATCTTATGAATATTTTTGCTCTCACTTTGGCCAATGAGTGCATGCATTCCTGCGAATATATTCTTGGAATGAGATTCCTAAATTCTGTGTTCTAAATTAGGCACATTAGTAGATACAAACTTTTTTTTTCAAAACTAATTGCAACAACATACAAATTATTGTTTTTTCTGCCTTACGTTTGATCAATACCTCAGTTTCTTCTCCATAGAACTATGGGTTTTCCATTCCTATGTGAGATCGATATTTTTTCAAAATGTTTGAAGCAGATGCCATTCAGTACCCAGTTCTTTGAGCTCACTGTTCTCCTTTCAGCAACAGAAACAACATACAAACCAACCAATAAACCACCCTTGTGGGTTACGTTTTTGTCTCCCTATGCTGGTCAGTTATAATTAAACTATTGGAAAATGTCTGCAAGGAACTTTTTAGGCTTGCATTTGAGAAGACCATATATTTCCTGAACCAAAGTCAAGTTAGATATGTGGAAGAAACTGTGCCTCTCAGAAGGGTCCCTAGTTGTCTCTTCCCTTTTTTCCCCTTCTCCTGTAGGAGTATCAGCCATCTCATTAGCAAACACTTGAGTTCTATGTTGTTACTTGTTCCTGTCCCTATAGTTTTGGTGTTCTATCCTTTAGACTACATTCATCCAATCATGGCTCTTGGCAGTACACATTCCTTTCACCATGTTTCTTTCCTCACATTTTTATAACTCCAGAATCCTAGACTTTCATTTCCTTAAGTCCACTGGTTCCTTCTCAAAAATTTAGGGAGTTATTTCCATCTTTTCGGTCTAGAGTTTACAGAAGGATCAAAGACTGGTAAGCACTCTGAATTGTTACTGCGATCCCCGGGAGTTGTCATTACTTAATTTCCCTAATAATATCTTGATCTAGGAACAAACAATCCCTCCAAGTCCGGGTGCAAATGAAATTTGGCCTGTGTTTCATGGGGCATGGCAACTCTTTCATGGCTATTTAGGTGATCGGAAGCCTTTCTAGATGTTTCTCTCAGATCACAGTCCTGGAAGAATGGTGAGAACACAATGGATGATCAAAATATTTCAAGCCTTTACCCTTGGCTGGGTAGAGACTCAGACAGAAAGAACTTCACAACACTGATGAGGGTCCTTTTTTAGTGGTATGTACTGGTATTTGAACTCAGGGCTTTATGTGATACTCTTATTACTTGAGCCACATTCTTATGCCTTTTTTGTATTCGTTTTTGGATAGAGTCTCATGTTTACTTTTGTTTAGGACCAGACACAGATAAGATCCTCCTATCTATGCTTCCTTTGTAGTTGGACAATGTGTGCATGCCACTACAACTGGCTTGTTTGTTGAGATGGGGAGGTCTCAATGTATGGGCTGCCTTCAGCCACCATCCTTTTGGTCTCTGATTGCCCAGTAACTGGGATTACAGGTGTGAACTACTATTCCTGATCTTTACTAGAGTTCTAAAAAAAATCACTGTTGCTATTATTATACTGCTTCTTCTTGCTAGGGTACCATGGATGAGGAAGAGCTTTGAAAGTTGAAAATGTTTTGAAAAATGTAAGAAATTTCAGATTCCGTTGCCAAAGGCAACCTGAAGTGCATTAACTTCCCCATAACAAGTCACCGGCATCATTTCTACTTATTGTGAAGCTGTACCTGAGCTTGAACCAGAAAGCCCAGATCCTGGACTTGATTCTGACTATTACTCCATGGTATGATGCAGACCACTGAATCATGATGGTTCTGTGAAAGTTTCTGATATGGATAACAATCTCAAATGCAAAACCAAAGCCATGGAAATGACATATAGCACACATAGGAAGCAATGTAGTGAAAACTTTATTAGGAAAGAAATAGGCAGTGCCCTTTTAGCAAAGGGAGAAGTACAAGGATATTTTAAGAGATAGAAAACAAGTCACAAAGATATACAGTATATTGAAATAAATGATAATTATTTACCATTGCAAGACCTAATAAGATATGTCTGGGCATGCCTTTCTGTTTCTTTTTTTAACTTCTTACTATAAAAGGCAATATCCCTTTTTCAAGGCCAAGACCACGAGGCAGGTCAAGAACAGATGATGCTGGCAGCTAGGGAGCAGAATGAAGAGACTATAAAAGTGGATAGGAACATGCTCTGAGCAAGCTCGAAGATCTGTTCACAAGGAGATGACTGGAAGTTTGATGACAGTGTGTATCTGATAGACAGAGACAGGGCAGTGGGCTTCTCACAGTGTGGTATCAAGCAGGTCTGAGAGTAGAAGATTATTCTAGGCAGGTAGTGGGTCTGTGATGAGTTGATCAACAGCTACAGGGCTGGCAGCAGCTGGAGCTGCTGCAGCTGGGCTGGCAGCAGGGCTGGCAGCAGCTGGTCACGCAGGTGGGTCTCCAGCAGGTGGTTCTGCAGCAGGTGGTCCTGCAGCAGGTGGGCTGGCAGCAAGGGGAGCAGCAGTTGGTCATGGTGGCAGGTGTGGAGGATAAATTCCTGTTTACAGTTTGGTTTCTGGATTCTGAGAAGTTCTTCCATCCTGGGGCTTTTATACTCTGGGCATGCCATGTAAGGACCAATGAGCAGGGCTTTTCCTTGTTGTTTGTTTTGTGTGGTTCATAGGGGAAATGGCCTGAGAAGGAAGTTCTTCTCTAAGCATTAGAAATATTTTGAAAATTATGCTTTAAGTAGTTAATTGTAGATAATTCGTTTGAATATTTCTAGAAATGATCAACCATGTTCCTGCTCTGATAGGAGCCTGGTCATGTGATACTTCCTGCAAGCTGGGAACAGGCTACGATCTGTTGTTCATTGGCTTGTACTTTCAGAGACTGTAGGGTGTCTGCAGGGTGGACTGTGATGTTGCTATGTTCACAGTGACAACTTGAATCATCCTCGTGGCCAAGTCCATTCACCAAAAAAGCCACCAGAGTCAACTATAACATTCATGTCTCTCTGTCACAAGTATATATCAAAGAATACCTGGAGTAGACTATGGGCAACCCAATCTTCATACATACATCAGCGCCAAAGCCTGAGCACAGAGGCAAAAACAAAACACAGAGATTCTGAATGCATCCATCATTGTAGACCATAAGGCCATTTACCAGCCAGGTAGGTCCTCCTAGGTTGGACATTCACATTTGTACATGGTTGTGATAAAAATGAGGAGATCATATGCCATGTTTTACATGGCATATGTATATTGTGTACCCTCATTAAGTACCCATTTTGTACATTAAGTACTCTCATTTTCAAAGAAATTGATATAAAATACACTTTGAGAGAATGGTAGCCTGGGGTCTTGGCTCAAGTGGTATGGTGCCTGCCTAGCAAGCATAAGACTCTGACTTCAAGGAAAAGAGAAAGAAGAGAAAGAGGAGGAAGAGGAAAGGGAGGAGGAAGAAGAGGAAAATAGAGAAACAGAGACATAGAAATACAGAGACAGGCAGAGCAATAGAAACAGAGAGACAAAGAAGAGAATTCATTTTAATGTAAATCTTAAAATGTAAGTAAAGAAATAATGTTTGCAAATCATGTCAGAGGATATTAGCCCCCCTACTCTAGTCACTTTTTTCCTGTTTTTCCTTACTATTATCTTCCTCCTCATTCCTAAGTCAATGAGTATGTTAACTAGAATAAAATTTCCAATTTTTGAACTTTATCCAAATTGAAATTAAGGAACTCTTTGGAGGCTTATTTTATTTTCCTCAAAATTTTGTTTGTTGAGATTTAGACTTTTTTTCCTATGCAGTAGTCATTTGATGATTTGGTATGGATATTTTCATATTGTTGCATGTGAAGACTACAATTTTAATGCTTTCTCTCATTAATGGACATTTTGTCATCATTCAGACCTTTGGGAATCATGATTCTATGAATATGTCGGTCAAATCCTGTCCCACAGGTGCATGTGTTTCTGTGGATTGTCGTGCTGAAATTTCTGGATTCTAAACTGTACATGTTAGAAAATAGTCCCAACATTTCTTTTTCAAAAAAGTTGCAATAATGGGTAGCACTTATTATCTTCTTTGCCTTATAATTTGTGTCTGTATGTGTGTGCACACGTGTGTCTGTATGTGTGTGCACACGTGTGTGTGTGTGTGTGTGTAATAGTGGGGCTTAAACTCAGGGCCTGGCACTCTTGCTTGGCTTTTCCCACTCATGGCTAGAGCTCTACCACTTGAGCCATACCTCCACTTCTACCTCCTTGCTATATGTCTGATATTTTTTCACTCTGGAACTTGTAAGTATTTTGGTTGTGCATTTGTTATGGTTTATATCTTAAGTGTTCACCCAAAGCTGATGTGTTGAAAGCTTGTTCCTACCTGTCAGCCTATTGGGAGGTGGTGGCAAGATTAAGGGAGGGGCCTATTTGGAGGAATTAGTCTTTTCCTACTTCCTGGTTAGGCTCTAGAGTCTTGGGATTCTTTTCCTTTCTTTCTCATTGGTTCCTGGCCATCAGAAGGTGAGTGGCTCTTCCTTGACTCTTGTTTCTATTATGACATACTGCTTCATCAGAGACCCCAAAGTGACCATGCACTGAAGCATCTAGAACCTGAAAATAAACATATTCTCCTTTGAGTTTGTCTTAGGCATTTTGTTTCATACTGGAAAGTTGATTGTCAGACCATCGATTTTATGCCGTCTCATTTCTGTGAAGGTGAATGTATGGAACTTCCATAAGCTTAGTGGACATTGGCATTTGCTTTCATGAGGTGTAGACCATGTCTTAAATTTATAATGCTATATCATCTTTCTCTTATTCCTTCATTGATGTTCTTTTTTCTGGATCCTGCTTTTACTCATATTTTGCTCCATCAATATCCTTTCTTATTCTGTGACCATGGCTTGTGTGTGTGTGTGTGTGTGTGTGTGTATGTGAGTACTGAATTTAAGGCATTGTGTTGTTACTTGGCTTTCTCACTCCTGGCTAGTGCTCTGCCACTTGAGTTATGCCACCAGTTCTTGCCTTGACCCTCCCTTTTCATTTTATTGTTATGTAGCCCATGAGGCTTCCATGGTACTTATAATGCTTCCTGCTTCTTCTATAATAAATTGATTATTACCCAATGACATTGGTTATTACCCTATATTAAATCTTAGAAATGCTATTGCTCTACCAGTTACTTTTATATATGTAGTATTCTTGGGGTTGGTTTGTATCTGAAATAGGGGTTGATTTTCCTTTCTGCCTTAGCGGGATATATAATTGTCCCAGAACCATTGGAAAATCCAACATTTTCCTCACTTGTCTACATACCAAACTTGCTGCTAAAATAGTGATCTCACAGGTGGTGGCCCTAGTGATTTTTTTTGTTTTTTTTTTGGGGGGGGGTCCGGTTGTGGGGCCTGAACGCTGGGCCTGGGCACTGTCCCTCAGCTCTTCAGCTCTAGCGCTCTACCACTTGGGCCACAGCGCCACTTCTGGCTTTTTTCTTTTTGCTTATGTGGTGCTGAGGAATCGAACCCAGGGCCTCAGGCATGCAAGGCATGCGCTCTACTACTGAGCCATCTTCCCAGCCCGTGATTTATTGTTTATTCTTGTGTTTTTCCCTTTCATTTAGCAATAGCAGCTATAACATCTACAATTGTTATTTTCTTTCTTAGGAAATCTAGTGATAACTCTTTTAGCACTACACCTTTTCCAACCACGGGTCCTAGTGGTGCCTACTTCTCAGTCTCTTGCCTCAAATACTTGTTCTTTGGCTTTCATATATCTCAGAAGGCTGGTCTTTCTTTCCCCAAACTCCAGAGCTACTTTGATCTTCAAGGAAATCCCAAAGATAATGGAAGGATCAAAAGCTGTAAGGCCTGGGGGAAGGAGAAAGATTGGGATTGGGGGGGAGGGGGGAGGCTGGGAAGGGATGTGAAGGGTAAACAAAAGGAGGAGGCTGCAATGCTTGGTAAGAAATGTATGCATTATCCTGCCCATGTAATTGTAACCCCTCTGTACAGTAACTTCACAAATAAAATAAAATAAAAAAAAAAAGCTGTAAGGCCTGTTGCACTGTTACTGTGAATCCCAGTATTTGCCATGACTTTATTTCCTTAATAATATTTTGACCGAAAGCAATTATCTCCCCAACTCTCAGTTCAAATGAAATTTGGCCTGTGTTTCACAGAACATGACTTACTCACTGCTGGCTATTTGTATAGGTGACTAAAACAATGTTGACATGAGTAATGCTATTTACATAACATCAAGAAACTCTTTCTGATGAGCCTCTCACATCAAAGTTTCAGACAGTGGCAGAAACAACAATAAATGATCAAAAAGAATTTAATAGAGTTTACCATTGGCTGGCAGGCAACAGACAATAAAATTTTCACACCATTCACCGGTGCTCTTAAGAAAAAGCATGAATGCTCTTAATTATGTGGTTATTGGTTACCGACCTTTCGGAAATGAATTGAGAAGAGTCTAGTTAAAGGAAACTAAATTTAAAATATAAGGAGTTTCCACTGGACACCAACCTTTTAGTATATAAAACTATATACAGGGCTGGGAATGTGGCTTATTGGTAGAGTGCTTACCTAGCATACAGGGAGCCCTGGGTTTGATTCCTCAGCACTACATTAACAGAAAGAGCTGGTAGTGGTTCTGTGGCTCAAGTGGTAGAGTGCTAGCCTTGAGCAAAAGAAGCTCAGGGAGAGTGCCCAGGCTCTGAGTTCAAGCCCTAGGACTGGCACAAACAAAAAACAAAATCTATTTCCATGACTATGGCAGAGCTGGAATGAGATATCCTGGGCTCTAGAGTGGATTCTGTTCATCATTTGCAACATGGCACGATGCAGGTTACTTAACTCATATTGGTTTGCTTACATGTTATGGTTTGAATAGGAAATGTTGGGCTGGGAAGGTGGCTCAGTGGTAGAGTGCTTGCCTTGCATGGATGAGCCCTGGGTTCATTCCTCAGCACCACATAAGCAGAAAAAGCTGGAAGTGGTGCTGTGGCTCAAGTGGTAGAGCACTAGCGTTGAGCTGAAGAGCTGAGGGATAGCATCCAGGCTCAGAATTCAGACCCCAAGACAAAAAAAGAAGAAGAAAAAGAAGAAGAAGAAGAA